TTCCATCTTGTCCCACCTTCATGAAAAGAACCTCATTTTGACACAAAAAACGTTTCTATAGTTCGTTGTATGGGAGAAATGTCCTGTTATTCACATACCGTTACTTCATGATCATGATGCAATTCCTTTTCATTTTCCCGGAGGCAAGTTACGAATTACCAGGCAGAGGCGCCTCACACAACAAACCCCAAACCCTCGTTAGAAAAAAATAAGATTCGTTCGTCTTTTAATATACTGTAATATACTTGTGACGAAGTTTTCATGAGAAAAGTCATGGTTCTCCCGTCATACAGCAGGGAATGTATTGCCTACGAATGCATGGGTTAGGTTACCTTGACAGCAAAAAAAAATCTCCTTCATCTCATCCTGTCCCCCCTACCATCAACCTGCATGCAGCAAACAAGCAGCATTATCATCACAAGGAGAGAAACATACACGACGTCCGACGGTTTCTCGGATTGTTTTCGCAGCCCGAAACGAAGGAATGTCCCGACACCCCTCATGTCGCGATGATCATCATCATCATGGATGATTGAATCTCACCACTCGGAAGACCGAGTGGGGGACTTCTGGGATTGGGCGAGAACCCGTGAGAGGCTCGAACCCTCAACGCATCGTCGTCCTTGTTGCTTCCCAGAAACACGCCACACGAGAGGGGCAGTACTGAAATTCTCACGGTTGGGTTGCCGATTTTTTTTTATTTTTAGAAAGGGGATGGATTTTGAGAGTTAGAAAGCATAATTTTCTAAACTGCAGTAAAGCTTGAATAAATTAGATTTTCGGAGAAGTCGTTTATTGCGAATAATACATTTGCAACCCCTGGTTCGATGATCCATCTATTGAAAAACTTTCGCTCACCATTAAAATGTTTCCGACTAGAACTTGGAAAAAACTAGCTTTATTTTTGTAGTGCGTGGACCCACTGTTCTGCTTTTTTGTCTTCTTCGATGTTTCATGATAAACTTTATTTTCATCACTGTAACCCCTGGCTTTTCTGGGTTCCCTTTAGATAACTGTGACCATGTGTCTTAAACTACGCTTTTAACATTTTTTCGTACAAAAAAGACAAGTTCTGCTCGCAATAATTTTTCTCTGCATTTTCAGAAATTTAAAAACCCACAGGCAGGAAATTTGAGGAAAAATTGCAATGAACAACTGTGTCCTAAAATTTCAGCTTCAGTATAAACAAAATAAATGTGCTGAATTTTCAGGTAAAATACAGTACTGTAGTAGATAATTTCCACAGATATGAGACAAACTAGAAATACGGACCGGGGAAGAGTTTGGGACGAATAAATCAGCAGGTTCCACCATTTCATCTGTGCTTTGGTTGTCAGGAACATATTAATTTCCTTCTAGAAGAGCTTATTGAAAACCAGGTTCAGTCAACCAACGTCCCGCTGGACGAAATGCAGGAAGTTCATTAACCCAGTGTTATTTGATGAATAGGGGATTAGGGCAGAAAAATACCACATCAACCCTTATTTTCCTTCATCTGAAAATTATTCAAATTGAATAAAATTTACATCCAACTGAACACAGGAGAAAATGAAGCAATCAGACAGGAAAAATTGCAGGTATAATGTTAACAGTATAATGCAATACAGTATTTGCACAGCTTCCTATTCATCAATCTCAAAAAATCTTTAAATGAATCGAAAGGACTGTATACAAAAACTATAAAAAAATTCAATTCATCCCAAAAGAATATATAAAAAATAATCCTAAAAGAGAAATGACTTCATCCACGATTCCCGAAAATAATTGTCCGTTTTTTTTTTTTTCAAAAATTGCATACAATTGGGGAAACTTTGGTTCTGGCCGACGTTCACACACACACGCACACCCCGGGAAGCAGAAGCTGCGCTGACCCGTCGTGGTTTGGGATACCCGAACCCTCGGAGACCGACGACGACGTTGACAACAGGGCACAGAACTGCGTTGTCGAACCAGTCGTTTTCATCCCTCACTTGAAGACCAAGGAAATTGATCGTGATTTATTTTCAATCAAAGTGATCAGTGAATGCTTCAAAATAAGTGGAACCCATCTTTCAAAACGAGAGTGTACGCTGCTGCTTCGGGGCAGAATCCGCCGGGTTCGCAAAAATATGAAAAAAAAACGAAATGGAGGATGAGAAGGAGATCTCATTTTCATTTCTGAAAATTTGTGAAACGAATTCTTTTAAAATGATAAGAGGCACTTCGAATGCATTCAGCTAAAATAAAACAACAAAAATCCGGGGAGTCTCTATCTGTCCTGGAACTTGACCTTTCGCGAAGATTTAGAAAAAAAATCAATTCAATTAAATTCGGTACTTATAGAAAATTATTCACTTCTTTTCGCCCCAAGAAATCATGTCTTCACGGTTTTTTATCTCGAATGGCCGGCCCTAAAGTACTCGTACATTATTTAAGTATCAAGCTTCTTGGAAATGGATTTCATTCCAAATTTTTTCTGTTTAGTCATCATTAAAATCCTCAAAATAATTTATTTATGGTCCCCATCAGTTTAATTATTAATGAATCAATACCGTTTATAGAATAGTATCTCGATGAAAATAATATTCATCGGTTTCCTGATTATTGCTGTGATAACTTGTTTACTACGTCACACATAAGCGATTTTCTAACCATTCAATCAGAAAAACCTGCGCACATGCCGTCGATGAATCGAAGGTCAAGGACATTAAAACCCACAAACAACTTCCTGAAATATATGGTCAACGTTTCCGGGGTCAGTGATATCAACGATTGTACATAACAGTACGATCCCTGGCACAGAGAAGAGGATAAAGCATCACAGCAATCAAGAGGAATGCGTTTCACGATCGCTGATTATTCATAACAACTGTAAATCTCAGCAATAAAGTACAACGGGAAAACAAGGAAGGTTGTCATTTCACAGCAATGCACGAACAGTTAAAATATCGTTACAACGAAACCATTGGGACCAGTATAATGGCTTCGTTGTCAAGAAAAATTTTGTCGGAGAGTAATTCATTCAATATTGGGAAGGGACCGAAAGATTACTTTGTTGTAATCGCTTATTCGTAATAAGGAGATTTGTTGTGATTTGTGAAGATATATTCTACTACATCTGCAACACTTGATGAAGGGGAAAAAGCATTGATTTGTCTAGATATCACTCGTTAAACGCTAAATGAATGAATGAATGAACAAAACACTTTATTTGCCGCTTTTCAGCGTTCACAAGGTTCAATCAAGATTTCCACAACAAAACCCCCTTCCCACCCAACCCAAATCCACTCAATGACATTTAATCACTTCAGAGCAGGAAACAGAGCACAAATTGATAACAAAAATAAAAGAAAATACAATACAATAAGAAATACAACTGGACATCTGACATGTATGCATACCCCCATTCATTCCCTGACATTGGTAACAAAATATATGTAAAAATTAATTTAAAGCACAAGGTCTTCAGCTTGTTTCTGTATGAGTTTTAGTTGAATGAACAAATTAGAGAGAATCTTTGATGAGAAATCATATAAAGCCAACAGTTTATCTTGATCCTATAAGATTTCAGAAAGGGTCTATTCATTGAATTCTAGTATTTGTAAATCTTTCTTAAGCTTGTTTCTATCAGTAGTACACTAAATTCTCAGCAAATTTATAGGGAAAAATTCTCTGGCAAGCTGTTAAACAAAGTGGCAAACAAAGAAGTTGATACACCGTATGCAAATAAATGCTATACTGTGCCAAAACAGAACAGCAATTACACGAGAGAAAAAAAAAGTTCAGCAAAAAAGCTGAAAGCAGCACAGAATTTTACTTCGAGGATCTCACGCCAACGAGGGATTATATAATTCGTGAAGTTACTCCTTGTTTACTTTGACTCTCAAACTCTGATCTTGCAATGCAGATCGAATTCTTGCATCTTGAATTACGTGTCTCTCTCTCTACCTTATGTCAAACAAATAAAGAGAACCCCGGGCTTCTGCCCGATTCTTGCCCATTCATATTGAGCTGCTCACATACACGTGGAGAGTGGAAACTTGCCAGTGATTTTCTGGCTTTACGCCAGTCTGCGTGAAAATCCAACAATAAAACTTTTTGTTATACAAATGACATTTCATCCTTCCGTGCGTCAGGATCCAATTTGCGAGTGAGTCAGAGAAAACAAAAGAAACTATTTTGCGCGCGAAAATTGTAGCAAAATTCGTGATCTAAGTCAGCACTATCTTACCCTCCAAATACGTATGCATTGCAGACAATTAGAGAAGAGAAAAATACACAGTACAGTATCCGTATTTACATGAGTACCCCATGCACCCTTTTTTTTCTCAAAATCAAAAGGATCAAATGGGGTGCGTTCCATAGGTGGGTTTAAATTTTAGAAGCTTGGGTATGCATTATACTCGATTCTCATGGGGAAACTTAGGACGAACTCCATCAGAATTTGGACCAATTTTACTCCTTCTCATGAAAACGATGGAAAATCAGTTGAATTCAAGTTCATTCCGTGTATGTATCAAATTTGAGTGTTCTTATCTTTGAAATATTCCTGTTTTCGAGTCCCTGAAAATGGAGTGCGCGTCTTAACACATTTGAATAAAACTTTTTCAAAATTTTAGACTGAAAACCCACCTCTTCCTTGAGGGCATGCGGTATTCAAATAAATACAGTAACTAATATACCGTTATGCAAACGTCATCCACATCAACGAACACCAGATATACTGTACAGTACTTGAAAACTGAATGCTGAAAATGTACCCAACGTAACCACGAAAAGATGGATTACATTTTGGTATTTCCTTTCATAGATGTCGCTAATACGTGGGTTCAACGCAATAGAATTTTGCCAAGCCTCACCTCGAACACTGTGCTAAAATTAAGTAGTCTGGTCGCACTAATACTGTCCCAAAAACGCTGAAGAAGACTTGACAGGTAGTCGAAATATTTTTTTTTTGATGAGCCAAAATAACTTGAATAATCCGATTTTATTCTCATCGAGAGTATGTGTCTGAGACTTGTGTTGTTTCTTATTATTCCACAGACAAAAACAAGTCGTGTAAACCACGAAAATTTCTGCCATTAAAGAGCAATTTGACATTTGGCATTCGAACAGATCATTGTGTCCGTTCTGCAGAAAGCATGTCGAATCGTTCCGCAGTTTCTCAGCTGACATTACGATAACGCAAAAAAACAAGGGGAATATATTTTCGACCGAGTTCGAAAACCAACATCAGTGAATTCATTTGATCTGACCCCGACATCATGAAGGAAGCTGAGCTTCGAGTGAGTATGCCCATTCACATCATCGTATATTCGATGGTCTGAAATATTGCATGAATCGAATTACCATTTCCCACGCATTTCTTAGATTAACAATAAGTTTGTTTTTAGTATTTGTCAGGTTTTGGATCGGAGTTCTCATCCGAAGACCCGAGATGCCCGGATTCTTTGCCACAGGGACAAAACAATCCACAACGATGTCCTTACGGTCTCTACGCTGAACAGCTTTCAGGTAAACGAATGAAGTAAAACGAAAAGCATGAATTCGGTTGAAGTTTAGAAATGAAATTGAATGAATCATTAATTTCCAAGCGCTCAATGCATGAAGAAATTCGGGGGGGGGGGGGGGGGGGGGGGGGGAG